GATTAACCTATTTATGACTGGAAATCCTTACTTAGAATGACATTCCAATTAAAATATTTTATGAACTCATCCAGACTTCTATTCCATCTCTAGCATGTAGTCCAAATAAGAAGGGATACCTTATTCTTGGAATGAAAGTTTGCAAGTACGATGAAAAATTTTAAAATTGGAATGAGATTTTTTAAAATGGAATGAAAATTTAAAATTTAGATTGTAATTTTACTATAGAATTATTATTTAATTCTGGAAAATTTTTAACGTAACTATTTATCGAAGATCTCATAAGGAAATCCCCGAATTCTCAATTCCACCTTCAGTGTGATGAGAAAAACAACTTTCGCATCAAACATACTCGTGAACCTCTCAGCAAAATGCAAGAACGAACCAACCACTTCCATCTTCTGCTTCTTGCTAACATACGAGCAGTTGTCTTGCAAACACTAAAAACACAATACAATCCTTTGGTTTTTGTGAACTGCAGCACATTGGACACCCACCGACCACCCAAACTTTCGAATAACACATCCTAAAAAATCCCAGGAATCTCATTTGTTGGTGCAATCGAGAGACATGTTAGAGTCATAACATTTTTCGAAGCCAACGAGGATATTCTTTGCCTTTTGCAAAGATGCACGATCCCCAATCCGATACTTGATATAAAGACAGACACGTCGTCGATAAGGCGGATACCATGAACAAAAATCGGTCCTTTCCCATTGATGCCAGAAAGATAAACTCATAATAAACAGAAAGCACGCAAGCAACAACTGGGCTGGAGGGCTTGCCCATAGGGATACTTACAACTTGCTGCAAGATACTTCCATTAGCCCAAGTGAATGTGTGCTGCAAATCTAATAGCACAAAATCCTAATCGTGTCGAAATCTACACATTCCCAACCCCCGCGTTTCTTGCCTCTCAATAATTTAACCTTTGTGCCCCATTTTTCAGGGAGTAACCCCTTTACCTTCCTGACCTTCCAAAAGTCAATCACCCAATCCAAAGCATCCATGATAGATGCGTGGGGGAGATAGCAGAACATCTCCTTCACATCGAACTCAGCGCTAAGCACAACTTCATCTTCCTTCACGGTCTTATTCACCTCTTCGAAAGAATCAATCAGCAAGTCAGTACGTTTCAAATCGAAATGCAAATTCCTCGGCAATTCCCACACCATGGTATTCACCACGAGAGAGATTTTCCGACAACCTCGAACACTACATTGAACAAAGGAGGGACATATAGGCCGCCACCTCTGCACGTCCTTGTCTTTAGGGACAGTGTATGTCTTACCGATCTCACCATTAACGTTGTCGGTGTGAATACCCTTACAAGTTACAAGGGTATTCACCCTGTTTTTTTGCAAGCGACAAAAAATAAGTTTTAAGTATGTCGCGTGAGATGTGGCGGTGTCTGAGGTTTACGTTGATTGGATGATTGACTAGAGTAGAGAGTGTGTGGGCGCACAGACTTAAGGCGCGCGTTATTTCTTTCGTTTTTGATGATTGTGGAAACTGGCATCCGACCAGAGTTTTATTCTAGGTTACCAGCCTGAACGTCCGGGACCCCTTTCTGTTCCGGGTTGTCCGATCGGACAACTCCCCCAGTAGTCCGAGCGGGGCTTTGTGTCCGGGCTGGTTAAAAACCGGCTTCGGGGTCCGATCAGGGTTTTGGGCCTGTGGGGGTCCGGTTTGGGGTACGTAGTACCCTTGCTTAGGTTGGCCGATTTTTGTGAGGCCGGTAGGGCCTCCGAAAAAAAAAACGAAAATGGTCTGGTCTGGGCCATCAGATCTAAGAGATCTACGGCCCAGACCGGGGCAAATTCGAATTTGAACTGCGTCCTGGACCACTGTCTGGCCGTGCACGACTTAGGCACGTCGTGGGAGTTGGACGTTGCCGAAATCGTGCCCCAACAGCGACGACCAGACACGTGTTCCAACCCCAGTGCAGGTGCATACCGTCGTCCCGATTGTGTGTGTGTGACACTGTGTGTGTCTGTGTGTGTGTGTATGTTTGGCATACTGCGCATCCACACGGGCCTGCAAGGCCCGACCAAACAAGGAAAGTAAGGGTCCTACAGGCCCTGTGTCGTTTTCAGCCTGAAAGCCTGAAAACAAGGGCCTACAGACCCTGTGTCGTTTTCAGCCTGAAAGCCTGAAATCAAGGGCCTACAGACCCTGTGTCATTTCAGCCTGAAAGCCTAAAAACGAGAGCCTACACACCCTGTGTGGTTTCAGCCTAAAAGCCTGAAAACGAGGGTCATTTCCAGACCCTCATAAAGTCGACCTGCCCTGAAACTTAGGCACCAGACCAAGGTTTTTAGCACAAGCCATTTTTTGTCTGTTTTCAAGACAACCTTTGTTTGAACTTCAACACCAGGGTCTGGCACGTTTTGGCATTGGCAAGAGCCGCCTCCTGGACGGGCCAGCACTATATAAGACTGGCCCGCCGTGCAGGCTGCAGGCAGTGAAGAGACAGTCACGAGGTAGTTCATAGGAACTTCCCAGACACTTGACATGCAGGAGGCCAGAGGCAGTCTTCAGGATTCGACAGCAGCACTATGGAGGAGCGTTGTAGTAGTAGTAGTAGCATTAGCAGTAGTCTTCAGCGCTGGGCGCTATAAGGAGCTAGAGTAGTAGTGGAGAGAGAGAGACGGTTGGCGGAGGCCAGGGAGACTTACTTGTGGCGCCATAGCTCCAACTTCGTCTTCGATGTACCAACAATAAGCCACCACCTTCATAGGTTAGTACCACACTGAGAGAGAGAGAGAGAGTTCTTCTTTCTCTTCTAAGTCCACCATCTCCTCTTCACCCTCTCGCTACCTTACGTCTCGGTATCTACATACTATGAGAGAGAGAGAGGTTGGTGACTTTGAGACTTGACAACATTTGGATCTAGACTCGACATTGGGAATCAGACATTTGACGAGGGATTATTTGGGACCTGTACCAAAGACTTGGTGTTCACAACATTCCCATCTTCCCCTCTTCTTCGTCTAACCCCCCTCTTCTTCGTCTGTGTATGGTTGGGGACTGGCGTCGTCTTCCTGTGGAGGGTCAGGCCGCTTCACACCATGGAATGATGATGATGTATGTATGGTCTGCATTGCAACACTGATTGTTCGGATCTGACCGATTCATTGGTATTTAAGCCTATCTTTTACTATGTGAGAGAGTTCGGTTCTTGTTCTGGTCTGCACCGTTACGGTACGCGACAATGTGTGTGTGTGTGTGTGTATGTGTGTGTGTTGTGTATGTGTGTGTGTTATGTATGTGTGTGTGTGTGTGTGTGTATGTGTGTGTGTGTGTGTATGTGTGAACCCATTAGCGTCCGGATTTAACGTTCGCCAGACATCTATCAGGCTCTGCGATTCCATAAAGGCTAACAGCATCCTAGCATCTGCACGGAGAGGTGCTGGGTTTAATGAGTCTAAACCCGGATTTAAAGTTGTATTCCAGTCTCCGGTAGTAACCAGGTGTTCTGTGTCAGAGATAAACTTGGGCAGGTCAGCGAGGAAGTTCACTCTCTCTATATATTCTACCGGGGCGTAAAGCGACATGATGGCCCAATCTTCATCTGCAATGGCCAACTTAACCCAAACCCACCTTCCTTCTAGATGAATTTAAGCAGTTGTCGATAACTTCTACATCTAAGCCTTTGACAATCAGAATTCCTACTCCTCCTTTAGTACCCACGACCGGGGACCAAATCTGAAACCCCGACCACCACCCCTGAATTTTTGTTATTTTTTTACTATTTAGTTTAGTTTCTTGCACACATATGATGTGTGCTTGTTGGGTATGAATCCAGGCTGCAAGCCTGCTCTTTTTAAATCCTTGATTGTCGTCCCCCAAACCATGCACCGATGCACGTTCCAGTTAAGAAGACGTAGCTTATTGGGCATGAACATTGGAGGTTCCTAATCCGCAGTCAGGGGATGCGGGGGATCTTAGCATCTTTGCTTTTTGGGGCAGGTTGGGCAAATGAAGGGGCCATTACTGTCCCAATATTGTCTGGCATTGTCAACCATTCTGCTATTACTTGTGCATTTAACCCCGACGCCAGCCTGATATTTTTCAAGGTGTCTGATTGGGTGAATGGAAAGTGTGAGACTCAGTGAGAGTTCAAACCAACATTCAATGATTGGGCCAGATCATCTGTTCCTTTTTTGTCTTTGGGGGCAGACACCAACTTCATAAACAGTATGAAAAGGTTAATTTTCCCATTTGGTGGGGATTCATTAACGAAGCGTGCCAACTTTGGCTCTGGGAGTAAATTGGCCTCCCTTTTATTCTATAATATTTGCCTCCTCACAAGATTCCTTGCCCTTACCGAGGTTGGAGGTTCTCGGAGTGGAATTGAGGGGAGTGTCAAGCCTCCCTCTGTTAACAGCACCTTAGCGCCTTTGGGGGATGGGGCACAGATCATCGGAATCAGGATTTCCTGAACCTGGCCTTTGGACTTATCCCGGTGTGAGAGCGTCCTCATTGGTGTTGTTAGTGATAAAGATACTCGTGCTGTCTTTATTGGTGTTGGGCGGCCCCGTTTCCGGGGAGAGCCTCGGGCTATGTTTTCCCCAAATAGTTCTCATTGGTCCTGTCTGGCCTGACTTGTAGCCCTATTGTCATTAGTCCGCGACTTTTTAACAGAGGAGGGGCCGGCAGTAGGTTTTGTGTCCTTTGTCAAGTTTTTTGTCTGGGGACTCTCTTGTCTGAATTTCCTCCTCGTCCTCATCTGATATCAAGCCCACGAGGGGGTTGAAGGAAGGTGCGATGAATTCTTTACCGTTGGTGGAAGATTTCGATATCTGCAGGTTGGTTTTGGGCCTCTCATCATCTGAGAGAGGTTCATTAAACTGTTCGTTTATATACAGTTTGAATCCCGATCTTACCAAGGCGGAGGTCAGGCTTGTGAGAGTCTCAGCTGCCTTGCCTGCCATGGGAGAGAGGGGTCTTTTCTGATCTCCGTACCCTTCATCAGGCTCCCCCGGTAGGTTCTCCTCTACTCCACTTTTCTTTTGTTCGTCCAACCCCAATCCCTGCTTAGTTATTTGACTTTCTTCTTCCCATAGGGGCGTTCCCCCCACCTATGTAACCACTTGGGGTTCCCGCTGCCCCTTTTGGGGGTTATAGCCTAATTCCTCTATTGCATCATCTTCTTCGTCTCCTTCGTCTCCTCTTGAGCCTGGCGGACTCCCTTCATCCTCCTCCTCAATATTCCCATCCTCTCCTTCTGCCCTTACTATCCAGTCTGCTTCAGCTCCTATGCCTGTGTCCATCTCGTCAGTCCCAAATTTCCGCTTCCCTCGGTGACGCTCATCCCCAGCATCTTCACCTTTCTCCTCAGCTTCGTCTTCTTCTTCTTCCTCTTCATCTTCTTCTTCTTCTTCCATCTCTTCTCCCTCTCCATCTCCCCCTTCTTCCTCTTTTTCATCTCGTTCCCGCTCGTCTTCCTCTTGAGAGCCTTTATAGTTGCCCCTCATTTCTTGATCATCTATTTCTTCACCATTTTCCAGTTTGTTACCCCCTTCCCCATCTGTTGCCTCGTGTTCCTTGCGATAATTGTTTGAGTGTTCGTTTGAGTGGTCCGAGAGGGGGGGGGGGGCTACCCTTCTTGGGGCGCCAGGTAAGCTTGGGTATACGTAGGTAGGTTTTGGCTGGATTCTGAAGAACCTCTTTGTAGGTACGGGAGGTATTTCTATCTCGCATTTCTATGAGGTATTTCTATCTCGCATTTCTATGTCTGAGGGAGGGGTAGGTGGGGGGGGGCATATTTAGGGGGCTCGTCAGTTTTCTCGGGGGGGGAGGTTCTTTTTGAACCAGGGAGTTGTTGGGAGGCGGGGGGGGGGKKGG